CCTTTGTTTATTTCATTCTCAGGAATTGGTGGCTTAATCACCTTCAGTTGGCAGTTACTTCTGTCATGCCTGTTTTTAGCTGCTTCTCTTTGAAAAAAAATCAGAAGTATGAAGATTTATACAACCTAACTCCATGAACTTAGATGCTATCTAAAATAGGTGTTCACTGTTCTTGCCTACAAGTATTTTGAGTGAACGTCTGACTTGTGTCAGCAGCTCATTTAGGCAAATCTATTCTTCACATGTCTGTTCCAGGGCAGTGAGTTGTTGAATGCATGCCGCCCTGTTTAGCTATCAGATGGCCAAAATGGATGGCTGGACCAAGCAAAGGAATTATTTATCGAATCTTCTACCAGTTGAAGTGCATTCTGGCAAAACAAATTTGTTTTTTTCCCCTTTTAGCTTGTAAAATATGGACAGTGTTGACCATTGGTCGAAGATGCTGAATTTAACTGACATTGCCACACTGCAAGATTTATTATGCTTTTCTTTCTTTTTTGTATATTTTAGCATTTCTTTTGTGCAAAGTTTTAAGTTTGCTTTCCATGGCTGGTATATGTCAAGATTGTCTACACTGTGAATTTATATGTTTCTGAAGATGATTTCATAAATAGATGTAGTAGGCATGTGATTTTTTTTTAATCATTTCACCCCTTGCAAGACAATAAAGCCAGTATCACGCAAGGAGTTACTGAATGTTAGAGAATCTAAGAAAAGGAAAAATATTATTAAGAAGAATAAAAGAACAGGAATTAAGAAAAGAGAATATAATGATCGATGTCTAAATTTTTGAAGATCAGCTTTGACTGGGAAGCAAGAAGGTGAAAGAGAATTCAACAAGTGAGAAGTGAGAGAGAGAAGAAACTGTTAGCATAGAACTTCCGGTTTCATCTAGCCATTTCATCTCTGTCAAATTCATAAAGTCAAGGTACTATTGTGAAAATTAGCCACACTCTGGTTAGTTTGTACGGCTACTGATGACTGATAGAGATAATGCTATTTATTCCTCTTCTATTTTTCTTGATCCTTAATAATGTCTCTCTTTTTCCTTATTCTTTCACACTTAGTATCCACTTGTGACTTAGTGGCTCTACTGCCTTGCATGGGGTGAAATGATTAAAAACTGGGATACAAGAATTCAGAAAAGAGTTCCACAAGTGAGAAGTGCTATAGAAGAAACTTTTAGAATAGGACTTATGGTTAAATATAGACACTTAAGCTGTAAAATGATGAGACCTTTTCACAAGTCTAGTACTGCTATTAAATTCAGAATTCTAGGTACCATAGAGAAAAGTTCATCGACACAATTACCATGAAAGTATTTATAGAAAAGGAACAGGGAAGCTATGCAATGGTGCTGGGAAAGTGACTGAAGCCAAGATGCCAGGTTAGGATCAATTACATTGCAGTACTTTAAAGAATTTTACCAAGGGTCAAATATATAGTACAAGCACTGGACTAGACGTGACAGAAATATTCAAAGCATGTACGAATGGTTGACTTATAAATATGTAAGATAGTTTCTGGAGAGAAAATTGTTTAGAACAATGAAAGAACAGGAATTCTGAAGAAATTTGGAGTGTACAATGGCTGAAACGTCTTGAATATGACAATAAAGATGAAGTCAACAGTCCAAACAATGTAAATAAATTTTGTCTTTTTGCTATTTCTCTGTTCTGCTAACCCTTTACTCAAACCCATCAAGTATGTTACACATTGTTTTTCTATGTCCCTCTTGCCTTCAATCTGACCTGTGAGTATCAGATTTTCCAAGCCTTCCTTCCTCATAACATGCCCCAGAAATTTTCAACTGCCTCTTCCTGATGTTAAGTATAAGTTTCCTTTTTGTTTCCATTTTCGCCAAAACCTTGCAGTTGCTCACATGTTCAGTCAATGATATCCTCCACGTCTTTCTATAAAAGCATATTTCTGTTGGTTCAAGCCTTTTCTTCATCTTTGAGAAGATTGTCCAGCAGTCACTGACATATTGGAGGACAGATAATGCTGGTTTGATGAATGCCAATAAATATCATGGCATTTCTCAGCCCAGCATTAGAATGTTCCAATAAACATCTTTATATATCACTGGAATCTTTTACCTTTTCATTTCCCAGCATTAGTTGATTTTTACATGCTCTTTATCCATCAAATCAACTTTATAATCCATTTTGAAGCATCAAACTTGCAATGAATATATTAATTTGATATTTCAAAATTCAGGAAATTTCATGCAAATGGTTGCTGTTTATTTTAATTTTTTATGTCTGTGCAGAACATACAAGCTTTTATCAAAACTGCCATTATTCATCAAATAAACATATAGATTCAAAAACGTCTTTAAAATAACTATTTATTGTATCTATTGATAAAACATGAAGTGGCTAATAAGGTGAGATGCAGGTACAGATATTAATGCAAATATACATACAGAAGAGAAATAAATATATACGAAAAAGCTGAGTTAGATAGTTAAGTTCAGACTGAGATAAGAATGGACGGAGATAGATATATTGATAGAGATAGATAAGATTGGACTGAGAGAGGTAGATGAGATCAGGCAGAGAGGTAGGTAAGATCACACTGAGATAATAAAGAGGTAGATAGGATTGGAGTGAGATAGATAAGATTGGAATGTAAAAGATAAAATCAGATAGAGGTAGATGAGATGAGACCGAGATAGAGAGAGAGATGCGATCAGACCGAGATAGAGAGAGAGATGCGATCAGACCGAGATAGAGAGAGCGAGAGATGCGATCAGACCGAGATAGAGAGAGAGAGAGATGCGATCAGATAGAGAGAGAGAGATGCGATCAGACCGAGATAGAGAGTCAGATGCGATCAGACCGAGATAGATAGAGATGCGATCAGACCGAGATAGAGAGAGATGCGATCAGACCGAGATAGAGAGAGAGAGATGCGATCAGATAGAGAGAGAGATGCGATCAGACCGAGATAGAGAGTCAGATGCGATCAGACCGAGATAGAGAGAGAGATGCGATCAGACCGAGATAGAGAGAGAGAGAGATGCGATCAGATAGAGAGAGAGAGATGCGATCAGACCGAGATAGAGAGAGAGATGCGATCAGACCGAGATAGAGAGAGAGAGATGCGATCAGACCGAGATATAGAGAGAGAGAGATGCGATCAGATAGAGAGAGAGAGATGCGATCAGACCGAGATAGAGAGTCAGATGCGATCAGACCGAGATAGAGAGAGAGATGCGATCAGACCGAGATAGAGAGAGATGCGATCAGACCAATATAGAGAGTCAGATGCAATCAGACCGAGATAGAGAATCAGATCCGATCAGACTGAGCTAGAGGCTAGAGATGTGATCCGTCCGAGCTAGAGGGAGAGATGCGATCTGACCGAGCTAGAGGGAGAGATGCGATCGACCGAGCTAGAGGGAGAGATGCGATCAGACCGAGATAGAGAGGTCGTTGAGATCAGACTGTGGTAAGATCATCCTGAGATAAAGAGATAGATATGATTGGACTGTGAGAGATAAAATCAGGCTGAGTAAAATAGATTAGCCCAGATCAAGATACAGGAAAATAAGGTCAGACTTAAAAAGAAAAATATGATCGAACTGAGATAGAGAGGTTAGAAAATTAGGGTCTAAGAGAGGTAGATAAGATCAGACTGAGAGAGAGAGAGTTAGAGGTAGATAAGATCAGACTGAGAGAGAGAGAGATAGAGGTAGATAAGATCAGACTGAGAGAGAGAGAGATAGAGGTAGATAAGATCAGACTGAGAGAGAGAGAGATAGAGGTAGATAAGATCAGACTGAGAGAGAGATAGAGGTAGATAAGATCAGACTGAGAGAGAGAGAGATAGAGGTAGATAAGATCAGACTGAGAGAGAGAGATAGAGGTAGATAAGATCAGACTGAGAGAGAGAGAGATAGAGGTAGATAAGATCAGACTGAGAGAGAGATAGATAGAGGTAGATAAGATCAGACTGAGAGAGAGAGAGATAGAGGTAGATAAGATCAGACTGAGAGAGAGAGATAGAGGTAGATAAGATCAGACTGAGAGAGAGAGAGATAGAGGTAGATAAGATCAGACTGAGAGAGAGAGATAGAGGTAGATAAGATCAGACTGAGAGAGAGAGATAGAGGTAGATAAGATCAGACTGAGAGAGAGAGATAGAGGTAGATAAGATCAGACTGAGAGAGAGAGATAGAGGTAGATAAGATCAGACTGAGAGAGAGAGAGAGGTAGATAGATAAGATCAGACTGAGAGAGAGATAGAGCTAGATAAGATCAGACTGAGAGAGAGAGAGATAGAGCTAGATAAGATCAGACTGAGAGAGAGAGAGAGATAGAGGTAGAAGAAGATCAGACTGAGAGAGAGAGATAGAGGTAGATAAGATCAGACTGAGAGAGAGAGATAGAGGTAGATAAGATCAGACTGAGAGAGAGAGATAGAGGTAGATAAGATCAGACTGAGAGAGAGAGAGATAGAGCTAGATAAGATCAGACTGAGAGAGAGAGAGATAGAGGTAGAAGAAGATCAGACTGAGAGAGAGAGATAGAGGTAGATAAGATCAGACTGAGAGAGAGAGATAGAGGTAGATAAGATCAGACTGAGAGAGAGAGATAGAGGTAGATAAGATCAGACTGAGAGAGAGAGATAGAGCTAGATAAGATCAGACTGAGAGAGATAGAGCTAGAGCTAGATAAGATCAGACTGAGAGAGAGAGATAGAGCTAGATAAGATATGACAGAATAGATTTGTAGGTAATAACAGCCATAGTTATCAATAATAGACTGAAAATAAATACTTTTATGCTAGGGCTTTGGAGATTTTATAAGTATACAAATGTACTGACTGACATGGTTCTAGGAAGATTATTCTATACCGCTAGCTGATGCACTGTCTGCCTTGTAAATCAAGATTTTAAATCCAGGCCTTTACTTACATTGACGCACTAACCACTTATAACAGAATCATATAGAAATTATTCAACCATATCTTTCTTTGATTTTTACTTATAGAATCTCCTCCTCTGTGGAAAACATTCCTGGTTTATCTGTGATGGCGCCCACAAATCCCCATCATCTTCAGTGATGGACCTGTCAGAATCGAAACTGAATCCTGCTCATTATGTCATCCAGCAGGGGTGGCAGCTCCTCTCCATGTGTGTCTCATTGTTCCTACCAAAACAGAGTGTCATGTGGTTACTAAAAGTGCATCTTCAGAGGCACGCTGATCCAAAGTAAGTACTGCTTTTCGTTATCAATATCGACTGCTGCCCAGATATGTTTTTGCAACAAATATTGTGTTTTGAAAAATTAAGAATCGTGATTCATGTGAAGTGAATGCGAGTTTGTAAAAGAAATGATTCTTGAAAATTATAGTTTTAGTATTACTATATTTTACGGTACAAAAAAACGTCAGCATACAAGATACACTGTCATCACAGTAAAGCAGATACAGAAAAAATGGTTTTAGTATATTTAAGCATACAATGTATATAAAGCAATCTATCAGTACATTATAAAACATGGCCAAAGCATTTTGGCTACAACAGAAAACATTCAGAAAAATGGAAGGTCATTTCTAACCATAAAAAATCTCCACTTCTCCTCGTTAAGTAACTCCAGTCCCTAAAAGCCTTAATGATTGAGTATACTAGAGTTGCTCTAAATCTGTCTTTATATGTGAGATCTTTTTTTTCTTAACTTTTGAAATCATTAACTTAAAATGTTTGTTCTCCAGTTTTTGCTGAATTTTCTATTTTATTATTATTATTGTTATTATTCCTTCCTGTTCAAGTCTACTCATTGCAATTGTACTTCTTAATTTTTGATTAATTTAAAATTCAATTGATTGCATTTGCAATATTACTGGCCATTTTGGTGACTGGAGTGAGAGAGAAAAAAAAATGTCTTCAACTTGCCTGTAAATTTAACTTGATAAGTATATATTTCTTTCTTATCTGATTTTCCTCTCAACCCTACAGAGTGAGTCTAATCCCCAAACCCAAAACTTTTAAGGATTCACCATAGTAGATTTATTCTGTTTACGTGATATTTAAGCTCCATGTTTTCTTAACCTTTTGAAATCATTAACTTAAAATGTTTATTCTCTAGTTGCATTTCCCTCCCTCTTTGAATTTTATTATTATTATTATTATTATTTTCTTTGATTTCTGGTGTGTAAACATTTCTTTTTGGGTCACAACCAGAGACCAAAGGTTAGAAATGGCATCATATTTTCCACTGACCAATTTAAAAAAAAAAAAACGCACATATTTTACATAAATTCCTACATAAGAAGAATTTATTGTATTTCTTTAAGGCATGGGCTTTCAGGAATCCCTTCAATTAGTCTATTGGAATCTTTTCAAACCAATCTGAGGGTTCCAACTACAATGGGGATTGTTGATGTTCCCATGTGCCACATTTTTGAGATTTCGATTTCAAGGTCCTTGTATTTTGATAGCTTTTTGATGATCTCAAAGATATGTTGCAGTCTGCAGGGACTGCCATATCAATAAAGAGGCAATTTTTTTGTTTTGTCTGGGCAATTAGCTTTGATAGTTCTGTCTGTGTGTATTGTGTAGTCCCATAAAACTATAACAGGTCCCATCTCCCTAACCGGGTTTGGGTGGTGTTCATACCATTTTCTTTCAGTTTCCTTCCCATAGAAGTTGCAGATTTTCCAGTGCAGTTATGGGCCCACTCTGTCATGCCAGGTTTTATATTCAGTGAGTGTCAATACTGTGCAACCTGATACAAGATGATCAATCGTTTCTGGATATTTATCACATGATCTTTTTTGGGGTTAACACAATATTTTAGTATGTGTGCTTGATAATTTCTAGTTAGCAAGCATTGGTCTTGTGTAGCAAGGATAAAACCTTTGGTTTCAGCTTTTAGCCCTGCACTACATAGCCACTAATGGGTACGGAGTTTGTCTACAGCAGCTTGTTTGGTACAGGCAGAATATTGGCCATGAAGTGGTTTATTTTGTCATTGTTTCTGTATCTGGTCAGTTGCTTTTGCTTTCTTTTTTATGTATTTTGCAGCTTCAGTTGGTGCATTATTAGTTATCAGTATTATTATTATTATTACTACTATTATTATTATTATTATTATTATTATTATTATTCCTTCCTCTCTAAGTCTTTTTGTTGCAATTGTACTTAAATTGTACTTTATAATTTATGATTAATTTGAAAAATATATTTGACCACATAGCTGCATTTATTGTATTTGCAATTGTACTGGACATTTTGGTGACAAATGAATCAATTAAAGAGTCTCTTTTGTGCACCTATCTTAGAATAAGTGCCAGAAAAATCTGTTGTGACAAGATTAAATCTATTTTACTTCCAATTTTTAGTTGATAGGAGTTATTACAACTTATACTAAGTTAAAACCTCATAGGTATTAATGTGCTGACAGATTCATAATAACAAAATACATATATTCAATGTCAGTTCCACACCTGGAATCCCACCGCATTTTCATAGTTCTTAATTCTATCTTATTTTATTTTTACTGCTATTTTCTATCACTTGTATACAAGCTCTCCATCCAAACTCTTGAATTTTATTTACTATTTTTGATTTTATTTTTTTCCTCAATATTAGTAGATAGGTTCATCTATCACCCGGTTCACACTCCTCACCAGTTTTTGTAAATGTTTATCTCTTGATTCCAGTTTAGGATTGGGTTTCCCATTCCTTCTAAATTATTTTCATTCTCAGAAGCGCCTTGTGTCTTAGTGGCATTACTGAATTACCTGAGGTGAATTGATTAAAAAATTACTGTATATAAAAAGCAAGCTGGTAGTACATGATAAAACACTAAAAAAATATTATATGTATAGCAGGAAACATCAATGTATATAAAAAGCAAGAAATCACAAGACAGAAAAATATCTTAGATGCTTACAGGAAAATAATGCAAGAAAATTTATATTTCATGCTAATAGGAATATATACTTGAAAAACAAGGTGGATAAAATAAGTAAAGGTTTATTTGTAAAAACTAGTACAATAAGAATAAAGGTAACAGTTATGCACAAGGTCGTCAGAAGTCAATCCAGTAGTGAGTGCTACTATTGGAAGGACAGTAGTTCTCGCATAAGTCTGAGTCATACTCAACAGATCTTAGCTAGTGTCCATTGTCCGTTGATTTACAGATACATATAGGAAGTTACTACCTATAGTGTAGTCATTCATAGGGGTGACAGGTTATTCCATTACATCAAAAACATAAAAATCAAGATTGTATTACAGTTCAACATAAATCAAAATACAATTTCATTGTTACTGATTTTTCCGCCTAGTTATATTGCTTTCATCTCTTGTTTCCATCTAGTTAATGATAGGCATGTTGTAGCACAATTTGCTATGATTGAACCAATAAGTTTTGTTATTTGTTTGTTTTGATAATTCCTTTTAGAGTAGTAATAAATGTTGTTTGAGTAAATATCATTATCATGGAATCAAGTTAAAGGGAACTGAAACTCTGAGGTAAAATTATAGTATATGATATTGAGTGTTAGGGTTAAAATTAGGCTATAGAAAGCATCAATTTAGTATACTAACCAAATGTTATTGGTCTTGGAATAGTATCATGGCTTCTGCCACATGCAGCTTTCCTCTGCTTTTTCTATCAATATTTTCATGCCAATTGCTCAGATGATCTTTCCTGTTTGGTACCTTGTCATCAGGAATTTAAATGTAGTACTAGATTAGCAGATAGGTCTCATTATTTTACTATTGAAATAGCTAGATATAACCATAAATTCTATTCTGTTCCTTCTCTTGGACTTCTCAACTGTGGAATGCTTTACTGGTTTCTTGCTTTCTTGTCAACTACGTTCTTAAAAAATCTAAATGTAATGTCTGTCAACATCTTCACTCTTCTTGAACCCTATTCTTTTATTGTCTTCTCTATTTCTTTCAGTCTAGCAACCCCTTGCATCCTAGTGGCTTTTATTGTAATGCTCACAATGAAATGATAAAAATAAAAGTAAATATTGCTGGCACATCTGGTCTTGTGCTTCTGCTATGTATTTAGAGATTCTTGACAAAATCAAAAGAAAAACCTGCAATTTTATATGTCTTGACCTGGCATCTTGACTTCGGTTACTTTCCTACTGCTGGAATGTAGCTTGCTTTTTGTTACCTTTTTTTATAAATATTTTCATGGCAATTGCTTTGATGAGCTTTCCTGCTTGGTAACTTGACTTCATTCATTTAAACGCAGTACCCAATTGACAACTAGGTCTCATCATTTTACTATTAAATTAATTAGATGTAACTTTAAGTTTTATTCATATAGGTTCTTCTTTTGTACTTGTTCACTGTGTAACTCTCTTCCAGCTTCCTGCGATTTTCAAAAATTTAAATGTAATCTCAATCATTATATTCAGCCATTTTGAAATCTTGTTCTTTTATTGTCTTTCCTTCTCACTATCTTTCACTCTCAGTAACCCCATGCATCTTAGTGACTTTATTGCCTTGCGTGGAGTGAAATGATTAAAAAAATATACTCGTCCTAAGTTACAATAGAAATTCTCTTCATGATTTTATTAATTCAACAAAAGATGAGTTATAGCTATTGAAACAATTTTTTCTTCAATTTCTTCAAATTTTTTCTTCAATTTCTTCATAATTAATTTTAATGTTAATTTTTAGAAGGTAAGATTACATTTTGTTGTGTACATTTCTTCCCAAGTAATCAATGTAGTCAAGGTAAGATAACTACCTCTGGAGTGAAGGACTCTCCCCACTTATATATAGCATCTCATTTGCATGTCACAACATCTGGAACCACAGAGGCTTTATGTCCTTGGTAGCTCTGCTACTTCTATGAACCATTCCAGGTGGTGTACTGCTTGTCTTATTGTGATTGCCTAGATTCCTCTTTATGGGGGATCTTGGTCTTATAGGATTTTCTTCACTTGAATTGTCCTCACATTACTCATTCTCTCTTCCTCTTCACTCTCCAATTCTTGGTGATAATCCTGATCCTTTTCTTCTGCATCAGGTTCTTCCTCCATTTCAATATCTTCCATTTCTCTTCCCAATCTAAACTGGTCTTCATGAACTAACACTCCCTGTCTATTATTTGTTAATACAGCTGTATTATATCATTTTCACACTACAAATTGTTCTTTCTCAGGATTCAAATCCTTATTTCTTTTGTTCCATAAATTTTCATTTG